GGAGCCCAAAAGTCGGACATGTCCGGGAAAATCTGTACGTATGGTAACCCTACATCCTGGGGAGCAGCAGTGTTTCCAGTGGTTAGAGCCAGGGGTGTATGTGTGGGAGATCTGGGTTCTGTTTGTGGCCTCGCCCTGACGGACTGTGAGACCGTGGGTATGGCATTTTGTGCCTCAGTTTCCCCCTCTGTGAAATGAGGATAATGATACTGACCCACCTTTGAGATTCTCAGATGAAAAATGCTGCCTAGGTGAAAATTCCTGTCTTCACTTGTGGGGCAGCTGGCTCCGCCCCAGACACCTGTTTGTCCTTCCTAGTCACCAGCCTGGACTTCGGCGTCTGAGTCATCGTGTCAGCTATGGAAAACCGCAGTCCATCTGTACAGTAATGGCCTGTGCCACTTACACCAGAACAGCTTCACCCTACTCCCGCCGATGGCCTCTTCAGCAATGACAGCAAACGGAGTTTTAGGCCCTGGGTTCATGATGTGTCTGATTATTGGCAAGTTAATAATTGCTTGTGTCCCTCTGGTGTTAAGAGGCCAACGCAGGTGGCTTGATTTCAGATGGTGCCTGCTTGCTTTCTGATCCGCTCCAAGTGGGCTCTGTGACTGGGGAACTCTAGGGAGAAGTTGTGCAAAAAAAGAAATAACTACAGGTGCCCAATTGATCCTGCTAGCAACATTTTAGCCCGTCTCATTGTTAGGGATACGTACCCTGCACACGTGCCTGTGGCTTTTCACCACCTGCTGTTGCCTCTGTCTTCTGCTAGACCTGTTTCGAGGTTCTTGCAAGGAGTCCAGGCTCAGGGTAAACTTCTCAGTACCCGGATTGGTGAGCCCAATCTATGCAGCGTAACCCAGCCTGACTGTGTTACAGTTAGCCGCTTTTCCTCTGTAGCACGGAGTTATTTTAGCAGGGATGTCCCTTACCTTTCTGTGCCCAATGGGCTGCTCCACTGTCCCTCTGCTTTGCTCTTGAAACGAGCATGGTTTCTCTCCAGCTCCGTCTACAGTGGAGAGCCTTTTCTGTCCCACGGGGATCCCATAGGGGGCCTGCAGGGTGGTGGTGGTTTGAGATCGATTTCTCTGATTCCAACCACGTGCTGATCCAAGACCCCCTTCTGGTGTAAGTCCCCCAGTCTGTCCCTCACGTCCAGTGTCTGCTGTTTGCGTTTTCAGATATTGACTGGCTCAGCAGTCTCTCTCCTGCTGCTTCCCCTGCGCGAGATTCCTGTTGTTTCCAGGGTTTAGAGGCATATGATAAACCACCCTAGCCTCTAGAGCCCAGCTTCTATTAATACACCTGCTTGGACTCAGTCCTTCCAATCTGCTGAGAGTGCAGAACACGCGCTCCCTGCCCCCTGCAAGCAGCCATGGGCCGCATCCTTACAGAGCGACAGCTTCACGGAGACCCATCAGGAAGGAGAGAGGCTTTCTCCCCTTCTGTTTGTGGATGTGGCTGGGAAGGGGGTTCTGAGGGTGGGTGTGGGTGCGCAGGGGAAGGAAAGGATGAGTTACAGACACATTTGCTCACGTGCACCTCTGTGCCGTTTTGATCTGATTTTTGTGTAGCTTTCCCCTTGAATTTAAAGCCTTTCCAGTCCATGCATCAGGGCCCCTGAAGCACAGACTTGTGTGCTGACAGGTTTCAGAGTAGCAGCCGTGCTAGTCTGTATCCGCAAAAAGAAGAACAGGAGTACTTGTGGCACCTTAGAGACTAACAAATTTATTAGAGCATAAGCTTTCATGGACTACAGCCCACTTCTTCGGATGCATATAGAATGGAACAGGTATCTCCTCAATATATGCTCTAATAAATTTGTTAGTCTCTAGGGTGCCACAAGTACTCCTGTTCTTCTTTTTGCAGACTTGTGTGCGTTATCTTTGAGACAACGAGTTGTTCACACGTTGGGGAGCTCCTGGGTGCATGTGACACAGTCCCTGTCCCTTTCTTTCTCCGTTTGTCTGGGGGCAGTTTTCGGGAATCCACAAGCTCAGGAATTTGTCACCTTCTCCACTGCTTCAGTGCAAAGTGAAAATAATCCCAAGTGTCCCTCGCAGTTCTCCGGGGAGAGCCGCAGGAAATGGCACTCTCTGCCCTCTGAATTCTGCAGATACCCAGAACTCCCCCCGACGGCTGGGAGAGCGCTGACTGAACACCCCCGCAGCTGTGAACTTTGAACTGTTTCATAACAATTAATGGTTCAGAATGGCAATGAACAGAAGCAGCAGGAGACGGAGAGAAACTGTCTGCTAGTTTTTGTAATCCTGTCATCTTTGCACGGGCACTTAAGGCCTGTTTTTTTCCTGCAAGTCTGGTCGAAGTCAGGGGGAGCTGAGGCAGATTCAGAACGACTGCAAATCAGGCCCTAAAACCTTTACACCCAAGTACATTGGCTTATTCTTATTTGTGTCTATAGCACAATGGAGCCCTGATCTCAGCTGGAGCCTTTAGGCTCCAGCTGAGATCAGGGCTCCATTGTGCTAAACCATGTACAGCCACTGAGGCCAGGTCTACGCTATGAACTTACATCGGTGTAACTATGTCACTCAGGGGTGTGAAAAATCCACACCCCGAGCAATGCAGTTATACTGACCTAACCCATAGTGTAGACAGCACCCCGTTGTCACAGCTACCGCTTCTCACGGAGCTCGATTAACTATGACAGGAGAAGCTCTCTCACATTGGCGTGGTAGCATCTCCACTGACGCGCAACAGTGGCCCAGCAGCACTGGTGCAGCGTTTTAAATGTAGACCTGCCCATAATAAGACACCTCCTCTTCCCAGCTAATCTATAGACCAGGCAGACAGAGGGAGGGAAAACAGGCCCAGAGATTGGAAGCGACTGGCCCATGGTTACGGAGCAGGTTGGTGACAGAGCAAGGAGTAGAACCCAGGTCTCCTTGATGGCTGACTTCAGACCGCGGTTGTAGTACTTTCCCCAGGGGAGAATCGATAACGTGACCTCTGCTCCGGGCTTCCTGCTGCGTTCACTGCTGATGATGCCTTTTTTGGTTCAAGGCTGTTGGGAATCCTTCCTGCAGCTACCAAAGGTAGAAGGTCCTGTACTAACCCATCGCTGTGTTCCAAGGAGACCTGCCTAGATTTTCCCTATTCACTGCCACCTCCTTAAGTCCCTGAGAGATGATCTGCAAGTTTCCCAGCTACTCCAACAGAATGATTGAAACTTAACGGCTGGACAAAACCCAAGATCTGAAAGCTCCCGCCCATCCTGGAGCCCCAGTTCCCATGCTGCGTGCTCTGAACTCAAACCAGGCCTTCTGCAGCTCCTTTTAAAAATGCAGTGTTAATTCAAGTGTGAACCGCCCACAGACTTCTCACTCTTCTGTGCAAGCCAGTTCTAACTTTTAGCCAGTTCTCAGAAGTTTGCCTAATTGCCTGGGGAGATGGTGGGGCATGTTTCATATGATAACGGCATTTCGTTTTTGCTCTCCGAAGAGCAGTCCCTGTTCTGTTGCTCACAGACTGTGTGTTGCAATATTGTAGGCATCTGTGCTCCTAGCAGGCAAGTCTCAGACTGGCTGGCTAATTGATGCACAACGTCATATCCCGCACCCTTAAGAGTAGGGAACAAGTACTACTTCTTTTGGGGAAAAATCCCTAACCGGGCTTAGCTTTAGGAAAATGCCTTTTTGCTTAAGCCAAGGGTCAGCGTCACCTCTGTTAGCAGCACCAGAGCCCTAGTGGAGATGGATTGTCAGCTGGTTTGGGTGTGTTTTAAGCACCATCTCTTCTAACTCTGCTCAGAGGAAGTCTAAGGTGCTTAGTGATGAAATGTCAGTGGCAGCCCATCCCTGCAACAGTGGTATTGCTATAATATTTCCCTGGTGGAGTCGAGGCTCTAATCTGTCAGTACAAAGCTTCCAATGCTTTGATTTGTTGAAGGTCTGGGTGGGAGGCTGCATTAAGAACAGGTGGGGAGAGAATAGGGAAATCAGGAGAATGCAGTTACAGTGAAAAAATATACTGCATTTAAAATGTAGTGAGAAGAATGAGCCAATGGTCCTTCAAGCAGAAGATCTCCCCAAAGCCAGGGCCAAGCTTGTCATGTGTGCACCTGGGAATTCAGGAACTGCTGGACTGAGACAGACCTGGAGTCCATCTAGTCCTGGGTCACGTCTCTGAAGTTGGCCAGTGCTAGCTGTCTATACTGTACCTACTGTAATGCCATTTCCTGGTGACGAGGATGGAGATGTCTGTGAATGCAATGAGCAGCTTTTGTCTTCAAGTGGGAGGTTTTATCTTAGCCACTGTAGTTTCAAAGACAAATCTTATAAATGCCTAGCTGTGTATTTTAAACCTGCTGGCCCCTTTGTCTCAATTATATCCTGCAGCAGAGAGTTCCACAGATGAATTATGCATGTTATTCTTTTAAGTAGCAGAGGGAAATCCATCAGTCTGTGGGGCTTATTCAAGCGAAACCATTACCGAGCACCATAGGGGAGATGACCAGGGCCGCCCAGAGGATTCAGGGGACCTGGGGTCGTCGGCAGCAGGGGTCCTTCCGCTGCAGGTCTTTGGGGCACTTCGGCGGCAGGGGTCCCGGAGCGAGTGTAGGACCCGCCGCCAAACTGCCATCGAATACCCGGAGCGGAAGGAGCCCTCGCGGCTGAACTGCCGCCCGCAGCGGAAGAAGCTCCAGGTCTTCGGCAGCGGGTCCTTCACTTGCTGAAGGACATGCCGCCGAAGACCCGCCGAAAACTCTCGTGGGGGCCCCTGTGGGGCCTGGGGCAAATTGCCCCACTTGCTCCCCCTCCCCCCTGGCGGCCCTGGAGATGACTGGTTAGTTCCTATCTGTATAGCACTTAGCACGATAGATTCTCTTTCCAGATTGGGCCCTCTAGGCATTGCTGTAATACTGACAGATAGATCTCACAGGAACGCAAACTCTTGCTGCTGTGAGATTAGCACCCGATCAGCTCCTGGGTGCTTGTGAGTATTTCAGGACAGAGAGACTTTCACCAGGCTGGGTATGTTGTAGCCTGCAGTGGCCCATTTAACAACTGCAAAGTCTGAATGTGACTAACAATCCGGGTGAATGAGTGTGTGTGTGTGTGTGTGGGGGGGGCGTTTATCCCCGGGGTAATGGCAGTGCCTTTAAAAAGCTCCCTGGTAGGAGCTGCTTGCTTGTGAGCAGCTAGGCTCAGTTTTATATTTAGCTGGATACCGTAGTGATTCACCTCCCTGTGCTATCAGGTTACGCCTGGGAATCGGCCTGCAGAGCAGACCTCTGCTCGCCGGGCTGGGTCCCTTCATGGGGCGGCCCCTGGAATCCTCCCAGAGCAAGGGGAGATCTCGCTGAGCCTTGGAGAAGCAGCTCCCTTAGGAATCCACTCACTGGGACAGCCAGGACAAAGCTGCAGGGTCGAGTCCCAAGCTCCACACGCTTCCTGGGGTTTGCTTGTAAAACTCGTGGAGAGGCATGGACACGAACGTGGTGCCCCTGGAGGGGGGCCAGCCCCTCCTGATGGGTCTGAACGGCATCGAGTTCAAGCGTTACCCCAAGGCCACGAAATCTAAAAAGGCTGTTCTTTTCTTTGAGGTGGAGATCCTGGATGCCAAGACCAGGGACAAGCTGTGCTTCCTGGATAAGGTAGGCCCCTGCCCTGTGCCCTGGGGGCGGGGAGGGGGGTGGCTGCTGTGGTTATTGTAAAGATGCCCCCTGGGCCCTGAGTCATTTCTCAGTGGGGGTGGGGTTGTCCCTTCCAGAGTGAAGCACGTTCTCCCCTCCCTTAAAACCATCCTGAAACTCCCAGGTTCAGAGACCTTCCTCTGCCTCCCGGCTACAGCCCCAAGGCATGTGGTCATGAGCGATGGGTGCCAGAGCGTGACACCGTGCAGCCAGGTCTCAGCCTTTGGCTTCTGAGCAGGGAGGTTTGGCCACCTCGTCCCAGCAGAAGGAAGATCCTTTGGTGCACCAAGGCCCTTGTCTTTGTCCCCTTATGTGCCTTGAGAGGTGGGTGCTGCCTCTGCTCAGGGCTGGGAGCCCCACTGCCTTGCTGAGCAAGGGCTGGGGTTTTCGGTGTGTTCAGAGCGAGCCAGCAGGGGTAGGGACGGTCTTTCAAGCGAGCCAGCAGGGGTAGGGCGGAGGGCTCAGGGGACTGACCGTGGGGGATACAGACGGTTTGAGCCCTTTGCAGGCTGGCAGTCGTTACGCACCTTGGTTGAATTTGCTGGGTCTGGGCCGAGTGCCTAGCAGACAGGCACCAGCATCCCAAAGAGCTGCCAATGGGAGTGGCCCTCGCTGGCAGCCTTAGCAGAGAGGGAGGGGATGTTGGCGTGGGAACAAGCTCCACTCTGCCTGCTGCCCTGGTGCTGCCCAGGCTGTGAGTACACACAGGCTTTCAGGGCTGTAAATCCAGCATCTTTCGTCAGCCTTAACGTAACACAAAATACTCCCATCTGGTGCAGGCTCAGATGCAGGGAGCCCCAGCCGTGTGGCTCTGGCACCTTGGCCACATCCGGGGCTGAATTCTCATTCTG